TAGCCTGTAGAGAGACTGGCATTTTGTCAGACACTAACATTTCCTATGCTTGTCATATGTCCTAAATATTCATATAATAATAGATGCTCCTGAGTAACTGTTGTATACCACTTTTTCTTACCCTTGTAAATTAGCGGTAAGACAGCTGCATGCGGCAATTCATAGTATTTATGATAATTTTCACTTAGACAACAACCAGACATGCACAAAGATAAGGCATGGACAGAACTAAAAGAGCATGGCATGGTATATGACAGTAATACACAATATAAAGACAAGGAACAAAGGAGCCAGCCAGTGCAGGCCCCCAATTACCATAACTAATAATAATAACTATAGTAATAATAATAATAATAATAATAATAATAATAATAATAATAATAATAATAATAAACTATACAATAATTCCTCCCCAATTAGACAAAAGCAAAAACCAAATACACTAACAAAAAATAATTAAAAACTAATTAAAGACACGCATTATTCATACATAAGGTCAGAGTCATACTGATTGGGATGGCGGTGTGTCCTCAATGAACAACGTGTACCAGTTGAAGGGACAGTTTTGGAACTAAGTCCTTTCTCAACTCGTAGTTAAAAGTTACATTAAATAAGGTTATATGTTATATTCAACTTTTAATAATAATAATAAACTTTAATGACTGGTGACATGTGGATGGTGTAATCACAATAATATGTATGGGTGAAGGAATGAAGGGCTCAGGAAGTGGCTGATGGAAGAGTCAATAGTGCATGGTTGTGGAGAACTATTGGGCTGTATGCTGTCTCTTTAAAGAAATCCCTAATAGCAAAAGCAATTGGCTAATTGTAACTATTATGTCACATTGAAAGTTTTATACGTGCCATACCTGTTTCCCAATACCCATCATTTTGCTTTCTTTTGTCTCATTGATGGGAAGAAAGTGTCATGACTCGACTCTTTGTTATTAGTATTTCTTTTGCAGCATCTTTGTGATCGCTGGAAAAGTAGCTCTTTCTGGCCACATCATTATTCTATTTGACGCCTATTAACAAAAATTATAATTTACAATTATGCATGTTACATACCTTGCCCAGTATATCTCTTAATGCCTCCATGCCTTTCCATTTGACGGGGAACGTGGTAAGCTAAGAGGTGCATGTACGGTGTTACATGTTGCTTTTTGTGGCCATCAAATGGAATTTCAACAAATCTTTCAATCCAGCTTAAAGCCTATTAAATTGGTATTATATTTTGTCATTTACACTTGAACTGACCATTGTTTGTCAAGTAGTGATATCAATATGTGATGTATTGTCTTTTCCTATTATTTCATACATACAATTGAAATCCTAATAATAACTTTGTAAACATAACTATTACTTATCAAAGTAACACTCCATAATTTCATTATCTTTAGTCCAATCTTACGAGGTATGACATCAACAATGTAAGGTGGCAACTTCCATAGTTTCTTTCTGTCTGCACCCCTCAGTGATGTAAATTCATACTCACCCTTCTTTGTCTTTGACTCCCATACCTGTTGAAGTACCAACACTAATCCATAATGCCAGTCTTTTACTCTAAAAGTGCAACATTCATGCACTTTATCCAACAGTGTGTCAAGATGTATGGTGCTTCTTGTTAGTAAATTGTTATCTTGTGCTATTGTTGCCAGTACCAAATTGTTAATTAGGACATAAGACATTCTGAGTAAAAGGTGCAGCTCGTCTACAATTACCTACATGTAAATGATTGTAGAATTTTATATTTAAAAATTTTTAGCTACAATAGGAGGATACTATATACCCTGTCTGTTTCAATATTAAAGAGTGGCTTATTTTTGACGCCCAGTTTATTTTTTGACTGAAGACAATTCTCAATTGATGCCAGTGTTCTTGCCTGTTCCGTTTGATGAACAACAGGAGCTATTGACGTATGATATCTGAAATTATTAGGGGTAAGATAATATACGCACACATACATACACACACAATGTATGTATGTATAATGTCAGTGTGTGTGTGTACGTGAGTGTGTGTGTGTGCAAGTTTATGTGTGCGTGTACACGCGCGCGTGTACATGCACACACTAACTCAACTTAGTGCCTGTGTGTGTGTATGTGAGTGTGAATGTGGTGTGTGTGTACGTGAGTGTGAATGTGGTGTGTGTACGTTAGTGTGTGTACACGTGAGTTTGTGTGTGTGTACGTGAGTGGCTGTGTGTGATGTATGTACATGTATGACTGTATGTATGTAATGTATGTAAATTTCATGCATTGAAAATCATTTTGTCAAACCTTTTTTTTTTCTTAATGTGGCAAAATAGGCATGCGTAATTAGAATGGGCAGCATTTAGTCCATAAACCATCAGCAAAAACTATAATAAGGACATTGTAATGGGCTCTACATGTTATTTTAAGCTTACCTTGTAATCACCTCCAATGATGAAGTTTAATTGATAAACCTGGCTGCTAACTTCTATGACCCTTTTGTCAATAGTGGAGTTGATTTCTTCAAATTAAGGGGGTGTAACAGTGTTCACCAGAAGTAAGTGGTTCAATATTATGTTTTTACGAAGCAAGGAACCAACTATTTACAAAAGTCACATATTTATAGCAAGGTACAAATCTGGAACATTCTAGCGCAGAATGTTCCAGTAAACAAAAAGAATAGTCCACACAACAAAGGAATAGTCCAGTAAATGAAAAGAATAATCTAGAATGTTCTTAAATGGTACACTAAAATTAAATGCCTGTCCTATCTTGTTTCTACTATTACAGGGCTTTATTGAATCATAGCTTTCTGCCCCTTTTAATACACCAAGAGTGTGTGTACCTATTATACATGTACATTAGAATGTCTTTAAAATAACAGTTATGTTTACTATGTTTGCTTTACCTGTAGCTGAGATTGCTGTAGGGTCGTTGATGGAAAAGAGAAAGATAAAAGAATAAAAGAAGTAGAACGATAGAAGGGAGCACCATCTCCACTTAGTTTCACTTCTATTGGTGAAAAAAAAGTGATTCCTTGATGGAGTAAGTGCTGCAGTGACTCGATTAAGCACTTTTCAAAAGGCTTATAACAGCCTGAGAAAGGATGAGGCAGTTGAAGGAACTCTACCTTTTCTGATAATTTCTTTCTCAGATCCTTATCTTTATAGGATTGTGGAAGAGACTGATTCAACATGAATATTTCATGATAAAAGTCATCTGAGACTCCGTACTTGTCTAGTAAGTATAGCACCTACTCTGATGTAGAAACATTTGTTTGATTAGATGACGTAGAAGAAGGTTGTGATTCAGAAACTGGTGCTTCACAAGAGCTTTGTGATGAGGCTGTATCTGCTGGTGGTGATGACTGTTGTGGAGAGAAGTTTAGTACTATTTCTTATGTGTATTTGGTGTTTCTAATGAAACTGACTTAAGCTCTAACTGGTAAGATTTCACGATTGCATTGCTACCTCACTGCTATCTTTAATTGCAGCTAGCTGTCTGCGTTTCTGTCTCACTTTGAATTCACTGAAGGCTTTACCTTTGTTAGCAGCTGGTTGAGTTTGCTTCCTCAGCTCCTGTATAACAACTTGGTCTTTGATTAGTTGTTCTCTATATTTTTTGTTTATAATTATACACTGTATACCTTATAATTTTTTATTGTTATTACTATACCTGTATTTTGCTTCAATGTCGTCAGCAGCTAACACTTCATTCTCTTTTACAGTGAAACCAAATACTCTTTTGAGTATGTTGGTATGGTTAACATTCTGCTTTCTCAATTCACTCCTAACATCACTAACCTTCCTTCTTAGTCTACCTTCCTATCTTTCAGCTCTAGCCTCATTTATCTGAATCAGTTTCTCTTTGATGCAGTTGTTCAGCTGGGACACAAGTGGACTTTTTATCATTAACACTGCTCTGCCATTGAAGAAGCAGTTTTGAAGTGATGTTCACAGTACAAAAGACATCTTTATCAATGTGGCACCTTTGTTCTTATCAATACTGACACTTCTTATACAAACATCAACCACTTCACTGGACATTAGTGACCACAGGCGTATTACGACGCGATGCAGGTGGAATTATATTTTGAATCACAATGACTCGGTAATGGCCACTGAAAGTCAGGAAAAGCCTAGTTTTGCTGTGCTCTGGTACTATGAAGACAAGACCCTAGAATATCATTAAGCATGAATGGCAATAGATCATGCATTGCTCTACAAAAAGGCACCGCGGCACAGCATTGAAACATTTTTGATACGGTTGTTTGTAATCAAAAAACAACATGGGTAACAAGAAAATCTTTCTCCTGTCAATGGTAAGCAATAACAATATCTTCTCTTCATCGGTTAAGGTGCTGCAAGTGACAGTACCACCAAAATTGACCTTGATCAGTGATTTCAGTTGCCAAATACCTACAGAAAAGTACAAACATAACAACTGCACTGTGGCAAAACTGAAATGCTACTTCTTTCAACTCTTAAAGGACTTTAAGAGAGTCATCACGGCATTCATCTGCCATTCTGCCATTCTCCCTACAGAAATAAAAAGAAAAGTATACGGAGGAGATTACGGTTTTAATTAAATGTATACGGAGGATGACCTCCAATTTCTGGACATGCGTCTCCTTATGGTGTGGGAGTGGTACTGGCCCATAAGATGGAAGACAGTTTAGGAAGGCCCATCGCCTGCGCATCGAGGACTCTCCTATCAGCAGAGAAGAATTACTCTCAGTTAGAGAAGGAGGGGTTAGCAG